CCATACTGTATTTAAAACTGTAAAATAGATCAAACAACAACTGACCGAAAAATACATTAGATTCGGGCTCCATTAGTAACTTAATTAATTATACACATGTATTAATTCATGAAATGTCATTTTATTATTTATTGAGCTTTAATACCGTGATAGAAAATAGGGTGAGAAATTCTTACTTGTTTCGGAGTCTGAAATCGGGTTCTCACTGCGCGTACGGGCTGTCCCTAAATTCCCTGAATTTTTTTTCGGGAACTGAAATACACTTCCGGTACCTACACATATCCCGAAAAAACTCAAAATCAGACCTAGGGCCTACTCGCCCATTCTCGAAAACTCCAGCACAGCGGCTCCGCCGTGCTTTGGCTACGGCGCCGCCGCCCGCGGCGGCAATCCGCCGTGCTTTGGCTACGGCGCTGCCGCCCGCGGCGGCAATCCGCTTCGGGTTGGCCGTTTTCGGTCAAATTCGGCCAAACTCACATTGATTTATGCGATAAAGCACCCCTAGGGCCCTCAGTGGGCCAAAAAATCGAGACTTATCGGCGGCGGAGCTCTCGGGTACGGCGACTTCTCCAGCGCGAGTCGCGATTTGATGTTTTCCTCCGGTCAACATGTAGAAGAAAGGACGGTGATCACAGTGGTGTAAAAATTACATCAAACGAGAACCAAGAAGGGCCTCATCGGAGGCAAAAATTGAGAGAAGTCGCGGCGGCACCGCTGGACTTCGGCAGTGTTTTTCGACCGATTGGCCGGTGGTTTGGCTCCGATTTGGCCACATGTGGATTCAGCATCGAAAAATGAGCCCAGGGGAGAAATTTTACTTCGTTTGGCGGTCGAAAAATCCACCGGTGTGGTGGTGGGTGGCGGCGGCCAGCTCCTCCGGTGACTGGGTCGTCTTCTCCGGCGAGGGTACTGGCGGCTAGGGTTTGGGGTTGGGTGTAGATGAGGTTATTTATAACCTTCTCCATTTAATCTCAGCCGTCCATCACGATTTAATATGGGCCATCCGATCGCGATTAAAATATGAGTAAATCTGTACCGTCCGCACGCGTGAGATCTGGACCGTCCGTGCGGGCGGGAACGGATCTGGCCGTCTGATCGCGTGCACGCAGATCACTCACTTTGCCCCGTCCCGCGTGGCTTCCCACATCAGTGTTCCTGCCACGCGGCGTGTCCTGGTTGGCTGGGGCTGCTGACCGGCCTGCTGACGTGGCTGCTGACGTGGCGTATATTTTCTAAATTGCGTTTTGACCTTCGATTTTCGATTTTTTTTTTCAAAACACCCCCATAATCCAAAATTGTGACCCCTTTTTCCAAAATCATTTTCAATTAATTTCCAAAAATAATTTTACCCAATTTTATCATTATTATTATTTTTATTTATATTAAATTAAATTAAACACATAATTATTACAAAATAAAATAACTATTAAAATAAAATAAAATCCAAAAAAAATTCAAATACAAAAATAAAAATAGTTTTGGGGTGTTACATACCTGACTACATGTCTGATACGGTTGACGGTATTTGTAAATGTAAACGATGTTAGTTGAATATAAATTTGGTGTGATATGATAGTAATTATAAGAAAACATGAAATTGTAATGAAAAACAATAATGAGAACTTTGCCCTAGAGGAATAAGGGTATGAAGTGAGGAAATTAAACATGTTAATAAGTTTAAAGTTGGTTTTATTAAAGTAAATGTTACGTCGGCTATTTTACTGTTTTCTATAATACTTTGATGAATCATTACGTTGTTTGATTTTTTATATCGTTATTGAGTTAGTGTATCTAACCCAATTTACTATCTTTTCCAGATTAAGACATTCAGAACACCGCTCCAAAATGATGAGAGTTTCACTAGGAGATTGTTCCAGTCCATCTTACCTAAATTTAGATGGTAATTACAATTATCTATGTTATTGTAGCAAGTATTTAATTCAGAGGTTAGGCCACCTCATGGATTTTGAACATTTTAACATTAAATTGTGTAAGAAATGTATATTTGAATCCTTAAATATTAGTTGTGAGAGATATTTCTGTAAATTATTTACCATTATACAGTGGTATGCGATCAAGACTCTGAATAAGAGGTTCAGTCATTACAATTGGTTTAGTCATTACAATTTAAATTTAAATCACGAAAATAAAAATCTAAATTAATTTTTTATATATAGTCTTATATTAAATACGTCATTGTTACTTTGTCTTTGGGGGTGCGTAGCATGCAAATTTTTAGTTCATAAAAAAATTTATTTTAGAGCAAAATGAAAATAAATGAGACTTTATTTTTCTCGTAGCTATGGGTGTGCAAATCATTATCCAAATTGAAAAATTAGACTAATTAATTCAATTTATACTAGTTTCATTCCGACTAAAATTGATTAAAAAATAAAATTATGTAATATACCTATAATAAGTCTTATAACTTGACTCTTCTTTGGCTCTCCATATTCTATTAAATCTATATCATATGTTAAACATTAAACCTACTCAAACACTCAAGATAACCTAAATTACAAACTCATATTAAATCACCCAATACAAACATACTTCATACTCTGGTTAGTAGATCTCTTAAATTTCTTATATATTTTTACTTTATACTTATGCAGTTCAACTATTAGTAATTACTTGAGTTGTCATATTATCATTGACACACGAGAAACATAAAATTAGATAAGTTTACAAAAAAAAAATAAGAAATAAAAATAAAATAAGATAGTGATAATTTCATAAATCATAATTAATTTTTAATTAAATTTTTAATCAAGACAAAAAAAAAAATCACTATAATCAATTTGAACGAAGGCAAAAAAAAAAAAAAAAAAAAATTCATATTAGACCAGATTCAAATCTTATATAATATTATATTAATTTAAAAGCATAGAGGTTATTTAATCTTCGTCAAATTTTGATTTTTTCTAATTTTAAACCGTTGCACAACCTTACCTACAGCTATGGCTTTTAGTGAATTAATTACTTATTTATTTAGACTATGAACTTAAATATGTCTCAAAACTAATTTAAATAATTAAAAAGTTAGTATATATTTTTTTAATCATACCATAAAATGAAAAACCGAATCTGATTCCATTGGCCAAAACCCGACCCAAGATCCGAACCAACTCAACCCCAATAGCAATTCTTCCCACCGAACTTCCATTCATTCCCGGGCTTCTCCCCCCCAAAAAACCTGATTTTCATCACATCATCTTCTTCGTCTCTCTCTCTCTCTATCTGAAAACCTAGTACCAGAAACCTGTAAAAATTTCAGTTCAAAGCGCCTTCAGCTAAGGAAAGTTCTCTTTCACTTTCGCGCTCTCGGCCTTGCTCTTTTTTGCCGCCATTGTAATTCTCAGAACTATCAACACCACCCATACCTGCCTCTTTTTCGTTTCGTCTCGCTCCGACCTTCAACGATATCGTTTCCCTCCACTATCCCTATTTCACTCCCTTAAAAACGTCGTCGTTTTGTTCCCGCGGGTTTCTTAGTATGCAGCCTTGCTGTTTGATGAAAGTCCGGTACCTATGAATGCTCATGGCGAAGACGATGACGATAACAGCGACGCTTATATTGATGATAGGAATGGAAGGTTGAGCGTAAGGTGGGAGAGATGTGAAGGATCGACGGCCCATGGGTGTTTTACTGTGTTTGGATGAAATGTCGGCAATCAATAGGCTAAAAATGAGAAGAAACATGGAGCATCGAGAGGAGTACTGCTCGAAGTCGAGTCCCAGGTGCTTGGTGCCTTTGCCTTTCCGTGTCCTATGGCGACACTGATGCTTATTAGGTAAGATTCATTTCGGTTCTTTTTTTCTCCTTTTACGTTTAAAACATTCAGGGTCCTTCGTTTCATGCACGCTGGCCACTGTTTCCTGCGTCGAAAGCTTGTTTAGTTTAATTATGCCTGCTTCTTTGTCGTCAATGTTTATTGGCAACTGGGTGTATTGCGAATTTTAAGATTCCAATATGGAGGAAGAAGCAAAGCGTGCTCTGTTTGCTAGAGAAGTGAAGAAATTCTGTTAGTTTGGCATTGCCATATGAATAAATTTCAGTTACCTGTATGCAAATTTTAACTATCTTACTCCATTTCTTCCATTATTGATTTTGTTGGACTACATTGGTGGCGTGGTTTTCTGATTTCTTTGCTTATTTGTTCAAATATAGATTTTTTTGAATAAATTTTCTTTTCTTTTTTTCTGTTCTGTCATTTAGACTTCACCAGTAGTTGAATGGGGGAAGAACATTAGTGTTGTTTTAGATGTTGGTTAGGGTATTTCTTGCTTTGGTGGGTATTTGATGGAGAGGTGTTGTTACAAGTTCTGCCGTAAAAGAGTGAGATGAAGCCAAGATACAGTTTGCTTTAAGAGCAGAATATGGTTTTAAAAAAATGCCTCGGGGTCATGTCAGCAACCACGTCGCAGGTCAGTGTTAAATGAGTAATTTTTACAAACACAATTCTAAGTTTTGGGTCGCATTTGAACCAAAAAAGTAAGGGAATTCTTTGAAGATAGTTAAATAGTACAAGACTCATTACCTATTATAGCCTTTTTTATTCTGAATGTTATGCCCAAACTCACTCCATGGTGCTCTCTCCTTTTATGGTACATGTTTAAATTAAGTATCTTTATTTCAAAGTTTTCTTAAGTTGCTTTATTCTTAAAATACTTGCCAAAATTAAATGGTTTAGTTATTCTTTGATATGTATTTATGGGTGTATTTGTATTGTTTGTTTGTATGTTTAATGTATAAATTATAAAATAACAACAAATGTAAGATATATATTGGTATTGCTCCATACCATATTTGTAAACTACGAACTTTTCAGAACATACGTAATAAAGCTTTGCTGCCTCTCTTTTAAAGGAGCACTTTTTCAAAAGGTTTACATTTTAAGATGTTGACCCTGCGAGTCTATAAAAGGTAAGGAGGATGTTTACATTAGGGGTTTGGTTATTTAAGTTTAATTTATGTTAATTTTCACAATTTATGGTTGTTAGAGGAGATTATTATTATGATATAATTTAAGTATTGCTGGCTTCTTAAGAAGTCAGGTTTACGGTAGAATTTGTTATATTCTGAATCCAGATCATGACTGACAAAAGAGAAAAGAGCTTGAAAGAAAACTTGGGAATAAGTGAATAAGAAACTAAAAATGGTCATTTTAGAGATAATATATTGTAATCAAATTTTCAATCTCAATGGATGATCGATCATATCATTTCAGATCTCAAGCTAAGCTATGACACCATCCATGTAATATAATATTTTCTTTTTAAGCAGTAAAATATTTTCTTTATGAAAAAAATAATTCCTAGTAGCATATAAACATCATAAATTACATGCTTTTTTGATAATATTTCTTCTTCTATTTTAGTGCTTTCTTGCCCTGCATTATTCTCATCCTTTTCATGAAATTTCAATCTCCAATTTGAAATTATGAGGCATCAAGAGAATGAATCTTGAATATGTTATTGAGAAACTTGAAACCTCCAACGATCTTCTCGTGGGAAGCAAATGTCGTGAAATGTGTGATGGATCATGAAAGCAAGCAAGCAAGCGTGAAAAGATTATAGGAAGTAAAAACTGTAGCTCTAGAATATTATCAAGTAGACATTAGTTAATTAGATTGGTGGAACCTATTTAAAGCCTCTGATACCATGGGTTCATGTGGCTCTGCAACTATCCCTTGCTGAATAAAGTTCACACTCTTAGCTATGTTGTAGTGTTGGGAAGTGTAAACTGTATATCAAGTATGGTAAATGGTGTATTAGTAATATACTTCTCGTATTGTGGTGTATTTTCTTCTATTGCTCATAAAACCTGTATATATAGGGTCCTAATATTCAATAAAACATATATTTCATTCCCTATATGGTATCAGAGTACTAGTTTGAGAAATTTTAAACTCTTCTATAAACCTTTTTCAGTCTTTATTGCTGAAATAAGAAAATTTTAAAGGGGACTAGCCTTCATAGCTGGTCATCACACAAACCACAATCACTAGCAACCTTCATAGCTGGAAAATAGTCTTCGCGGCCGCCACAGTAGCCAGAAAACAGCCGCCTTCATAGTGTAGCTAACCTCTGTTGCGCTAGCTCCAGTTGGTGCCTTCAGCTACGTAAGCAGCTCCTTGAGCCTTGTGCCCACCTCCTTGTTTGGCCAGCCAGCTGCAAGCCAGTTGTAAATCTGTGCAGTTGCCCTGCTGAGCCACTCCCAAACAGCCTTGTCTCTGTCCAAGGTGCCTTTGTCTCGTTGCGGTTCTTTAAGGAAAAAAAGAAAATAAGTTATATTCTAGGCATCGGACCTAAACCAGGAGAACCACAATTCGATGTTTGGGATGGGGAAGATTCAATAATAATGGCTTAGTTTTTGTTGACGACTCTTTTCTTTCTTCCACGGCAAATAGAGACAAATATATGATCCTTTGGATGCTGAAGGCCAAGTTTTTGACTTATTTGGTCAGGAAGCAGCTTGGAGAAGAATTCTTATCATGGACGGTCTGAGGAAAAGAAGAATTGTGGTAAACAGTTGTGTTAAAGAAAGTATATAATTAGATTAAAGGGCATTAGGATAAAATATACCCTATGTAATAAATAGTTCTTTTTCTACTATAGAAAACTTATATATACCGAACTCTAATATTTGATAGAAAAATATTCAACCATTTTTCATATGGTATCAGAGTTCTAGGTTAAAACTTTATATAATCTTTTATGAACCTTATGCTGAAATAAAAAAAATCCTAAAAAGAGGAGGCCAGCCTTCATAGCTGGCCACCACAACTAGCAATCAAACCGGTCTTCATTGCCGGAAGCAATATGAAAAAATAGAGCCGCAAAATGTGGCTCCTTCTCCTGTAACTAGCTGTGATCTCCTCTGCCATCAGCTGCATAACTTGCCTCTGCTATTACTGCACTTGCATATTCCAGCTGCACCTGCAGTCGTGCAGCACAGTCGCACCTGTCCCTTACTGTGCGACCTCCTCCAACTCGGTTCAGGTGACACAGATCAGCTATCTCCATCACAAGCCAGCCTTCATACCTGACCATAGCCACCAGAACCTCATAACTAGAAGCAGCCAAAAGGAACCGCTCAGCCGCAGCTGCCAAAACTGCATGCCTACACCTGTACAACCCCTGTCTGGTAAGTCCCGCCACAGCCGCATGCCCAACTTCTTCTGTTGAGTGCCAGTCTCCTCGGTCGCACACTGCCAGCCGTGTGCAGACCGAGCTGCAGCCCATCCTATCGTGCATGTTTTTGTCCAGGTTCTGTTCTACTTAGCTAGTCTAGGCGGTGGTTCTGTTAAGGGTACACAATGACACTATCTACTGATAACATCATTCGCATACAACTTTTCAAATATGTCGATAGTTACATTTCAAAGTATATGAACAAATTTCACTAAGAAAGCTCTATTGAAAATAATAGCGAATTTCGGCCAATTTAAGTTACTTCATTGGGAATGATTACTTGAGTTGGTAGTAACTAATTTGAATCTCTCTCAAAGAAAAAAAAAAGATTAATCACCTCTCAAGCACTGGATCAATCTTAGGGGATCTCACTTTTGACGCGTGGGATGAGGAAGACTTCATGATCACGACGTAGCTTTGGAACTCTATGTTGTTAGAAATAAGTAAACATTTATGTTTCTATTTACAACCAAAGAAGTGTTGGATGCAATCTGGAAAATTTATTCTAAAGTCAAAGATGCAGCCCAGATTTATGACTTAAATGTCAATATGTGGTCTACGAAGCAAGAAAACAGGTCATTTATTGAATATTCTAACATGTCAAAAGGTTGGTGGCAGGAATTCGGTCAATACCAGAGTCGTGTGATGGACTGCAGTAAAGATACAACACACCTCAAACAGTTTGTGGATAAAGACTCGAGCCTATCAGTTTTTGGCAGGACTCTGTTAGGACTCGACCTTTACATGTACTTCACTGGAACTGTGAACAGTAAAATTAAATTAATTTGAAGCAAATGATATATATCCAGAAAGAAGAAAATAATAGAGGGAGAGAAAATTACTGAGAGACAGAGAGAGAGAGAGAGAGAGAGAGAGTAAGATAGAGAGAGAATGAGAGAAAGATAGTAAGAGAGAGAGATAGGAGAGAAAAAGATTGAGATTGTAGAGAGAGATAGACTGTTAGAGAAAGAGAGAGATTGTTAGAGAGAGAAAAACATAGATAAAATAGATTTGAGAGAGATAGAGAGAAAAGATAGCCGATAAGAAAGAGAGAGAGATCGGTGGAAAATAATAGAGGGAAAAAGATAGGTTTATTTGAGATTAATTTCCACCAAATTACATGATTGAGTTGTGTTTACAATTTATTATTTATATACATGAAACAGTACATGATTCTGCACTTCGAGTTGTCAATCGTTGACGGAAACCATCATTTGGATGAATTTTCTCCCATCAGGTCGCATCGAATGGAGGAAGAAGATGAACATGCGGCTCAGTTCACCACGTAAAGAAAAAATGGTTCAGAAGATGAATGGTCAGCTCGATTCATTGAAGAGGAAGAAACGGTTCAATGGTTCAACACTCCGGTTTTTGGGGTTCTAGTTATCACCTTCATGATCGTGAAAGGCGTCCTTCAGTCTCCTCATATGCTATCACATGGCCTGAATGATTTTTGGGCGGGAAAACACCTGGTTTTGATCCTGTGTGGTTAGTTCCATTTTCCTCTTTCTGCTTCCTGTTTTTTGGTTCCTTGTGGTCGATTTCACTATCTTTTCCATTCACTCGTCGTGATTTCCTGTTTTCTTGCTCATTTTTGGTTGTTTATAACGGGTTCTCAACATACACAATTCGGAGTTTGATCAAGTAAGAGTCCAAATCTTAGGTAATAATGAAATACCATCACTAAATGTGGTAATTGCTACTGTATA